CTGAGCCATTCAGCCAACACGAACTGGCTGGTTTTGACAGAGGGTATTTTGTGTCACCACAGGTCTTTGAAAGAATTGGTGAGGGGGAAAAAAAACCCTAAACATCAAAAGCTCAACCTGCTTCCCTTTCCTTCCTTCTATTCTTCACTATTTCACGATGCTTTACCTCCCTACTCACTTTCTATATCACCTCATTTGTTTTGTTGCCATTTCCTACTTTAGTTGATCTTTTTTGCTGTTTTAGTAAAGTGTTCAGAAGCTCAACCTTTCTAACTCACAACTTGAAATGACTTTCAAACTCACCTCTGAACTTCAAAAAGTTGAAAAATTGCACTCATATAACCTTTTGCTCTTTATCCTGTGCTTTCTCTACTCTTTTAGCCTTTGATATCCTCTATTTTAATTAATAAGCAGGTAACTTGGATGATTGTTGGAATTAATCACCCACTCCATGCTGTATTTAATTAGCTTTTGCTACTTAGCACCATCTAAATTTGATTGAGAGGTTGTACTCCACATGATGCAGATGTTTTTGTCCAAATTCTTAACTTCCACATTTAGTTCAAGTTTTAGTCATTCAAATACACCCTTAAAATCATTTGATAGGGTTTCATAGGTTCCTGATTTGACAGCTGTCTGCAATCAATAACTATATGAGAAAATGGCAAGCTGGGAATCTGTGGCAGCTAGGCCTACCCACCAACTCTTCCTTGGGTTTTTCCAAGGACACTAAACATTGGTTTGACTTAATGCTACAAAGGTTTGCTAGTTAATTTCACAACAATGCATGTTGCGTTTTAAAATTCCGCCTATGCATTGTTTCTTGTGTTAAAGTACACAATAACACACGGTTGACACTTAACAAAAAACATTTTTCAGTCAGGTCTTATGGGTAGTTTCTTTTTTTTTGTGCTGAAACGTTTCGCCTTCGGTCCGGAAGGCTTCATCAGTCAAGGAAACGCACAACAAAACTGATTCTTCCCCCAACAGCTTACTCCAAAGTGAAACAAACCAGTTCTGCTTGTGATAAGATGGTCTCTTTGGTACGGTTCCTTGACTGATGAAGCCTTCCGGACCGAAGGCGAAACGTTTCAGCACAAAAAAAAGAAACTGCCCAGATGACCTGACTGAAAAATGTTGGATTGTATACCTGGATTATTGAGCATGGACTTTGTTGTGAACAAAAAACAGTTTTTTAATTTGGCATCTTCCTTTGTCAGCACAGCCTGACACCCACCCACCCCCCAGTACCCTGAAACAATTATCTTTGGCACATAACAGGTAAATAGTTTTTTTTGTTTGTTTTTTTTCTCCTGATTAAAAATGAATCTCATCATCAAGTTTTAAATTTATGAAAAGTTTTTTAAAAATTCAAATAGAATGTCTTTACACTTTACAATTTACAGTCAGCATTGCACATTAAGCTGTGACTGCTAATTCAGCAATTAATGGACTAATGACAGCAGTAAGCACTAAATGTAAGGCAGCATTGGCTAAGTTTTCAAATTTGTATTTGCTGTATGTTTCCAGAGGTGGCAAATATCTCATTAAATTATGTTTTTGATACCCACACTGCATATATAACAAGTATATGAGTTTTATTTAATTATGGGAAAGTGGTATTATTTTGGCACCTAAAAGAATCCCAAACCCAATTAAAATTATTCTCTTAGGTTACAAACTTCAGTGAATAAACAGGAACTAAATCTGTTAAACAATGTATTGAGTAATCTGTATTTGTGATGCATACCATACCATTTTATTTATAGAGCACTTAAAACAGTGACAAGTCCAGCCAAAGTGCTGTACAGACAGAAAAACAGGCAACACACAAAGCAATATACAAAATGAGGTAAATCAAGTATGTCATGCGTATGCTGATGTTGAGTGAAATAGTTAAAAGGCCTGAACGGTTCAAAGTGTCTGAACATTCTATATACAATGAACGATGTACGATTTCTGTGGCCTTGGGTTAGTGTGGCCAATTGCTCATAGATCTAAATGGACTGCCCTATAAATTGAGTCTTTCTTGTCTCAAATGTGTGCGTGTTTGCATGTGTCTGTGCATGCCCTTCATTCTGTCAGGGATAAGCAGTTTGCAGGTCAGCTGCCCAGTTTGTGGAGAAAGAAGGATGCACAAATCAGATGATTAATCGTCATCTCTTCACCTCTCAAGGATAATGCTTAGCAACTGCAGAGCTCCACCCGAGCCTCAACCTTACCGGAATCACATCCACATAATGCACTTCTATCATCCAGGAACAATAAAGTGCAACTGCGCCATTGAAAGAAGATGGTGTTCAAACTCATAAACACAAAATCTGGAAAGTTTAATTGCTTCGTTGGTCGTCTCCTATTAGTACACGTTTCATTTTGCAGGATTATGCTGATTAGTAGTGTATGTTTTCTATTGTAATCAGTCCTTCACTTGTTACAGATCTTTATCTAGTGTTTGGTTTGTTTGACCTGAAGCAACAGTCTATGCTTGTATTTGATACTGTGGCGGATATGAGAAAACAGAAGATACAGGCTGGTCTTTATCCCTGCGCTTATATTTGTTTTGAGGGAGAGAGTGCACACTGGGTGTGTTCTATCATGCTATTTCTATTTTTGTAGGTTCTTTCAGTCGGTGTGGGAGATGTGCAGTAGCCCAGATGCAGTTAAAAATTGGCTACAGTTGAAAGGTTTGAATTTTTTTTTAACTAGCCAGCTTGCCAGATATCCAACTACACTCTTAGCTGGTCAGGCACTCAAAGTAGCTTTTAAATTTGGGAGGCACTGCAGACACCAGACAGTTGATGAAGAAGTGAGTTGGCTGCCTGGCGGACCCTGGGTCATGTGGTTCACAGACGTAGGTCTGTTTTTTTGAACCGTCTAGCTTTTGACCTCTGTAGAGTTCATAGTAACAAAATATGCCATGAGATTTTCTTTCCAGAACGGTTTCACACTCAAGACTTTTCTTATTGACATTAGCTACAGTTTGCAACAGTTTTACCCGCTTTTCTGATAAAAAGAACAAAAGAGCCAAGACTGTGGTGCGGATAAAAAGAGTGACTGAGAATGAAGATTGCTTACATGTTGACTGGCATGTTGGGTAATTCTTGTTGTACAAGTTTTGACAATTATCAGTCCAGAGCAGTGGTTTATCTTGAAGTGCTGATGTTCTTGTCAGGGTACTTAAAAAAAAAACTCAACTATTTTCTTTACTCACAAGACATTACAGAAATAAAACAATAAGGCAACGTGTTCAAGAAAAGACAGAGTACTGTATAGAGTGTCGTAATCAAGAGATAATATTCGGCTAAGTAGTGCATTGTGAAATCAGAGTGAGCAAGGTTATGTTTTTTTGTATTTGTGTGCGTGTAACCATATACGTCATGAATATACAGTATGAGTGGGCTGATGGACGGTGTAAAGGCTCACTTCATCTTGTTTGTATAACATCTAACGTCAAACATTCCATACAACAGACAAATGCCATTAAAATGTTACATCTGATTGAATTAATGTTTAGAGTTGTTCATCCTGCATTTTATATTGTAGTCAGTGGTTTGTGGGTCTGGGCTGTCAAGCATCTTGTCAGACTCATTCAGTTCTAAGTGGATGTTCTTCAATGTTAAATGCTTTCATATTGATCTTTTAAAGCACATACTAGTAGTATTTTTGTTGCAGAACACACTGTCTGTCTTCCAATGCCATTAAATGTTATTATTATGGAGTTTGTTTGCATGTGTGTCAAACAACCCTAATCCAAACTCACAATGAAAAATTAACATCATTCATTTCAAAGAAAGATCTTAAAATAATCAGAAATGTATAATGTGGAAAGTCTTGACCTGTCAGTTTTAAGATTGTAAACATTGTTAACTATGTTTTAGACATCAGGTGCAACCAACTGAAGAACAACGCTTTTAAAAGTGTGAAATTTCTGATGCATGAATGAGAAACACTCCACTATTTAAGGGATTTCTGCTTTTGAAGTGACATTTTTCAAAGAACGATTGGAAATTTTTAAAAATATGCGGAAGGAAGCAATGAGGTTTTGAACCACGCGATGTTGTGGGGAAATTAGATATTTAAAGCCTCTTAAAAAACAATGGCAACAGGATTTTTTTTATTGTGGTCTTTGTTGTCTTTGAAAAGAAGGAAACCAGAAGAATTTGTCAGTTTCACTAGTTGTTTTTGTCAGCTGCATGTTTGGTTGAGGTGGAGTCGAGACAGAAACCTTATCAGCATGGCACTTGCAGTACGTGTTTGTGGATGGGAACATCTTTTCTGTGCTAGAGCTTATTTTGTGTGTACACATTGTAATAGTGTGGGTGTTTACATGTTTATATGTGAATTCAGGGCTGGTATGCCAAGGATGCCCTTGTTTTATGTGGCCTATTTGACGTGCGGGAATTGGCTTGTTTTATTTTTAACAGTTACTTTGCCACTTCTATGAATGTGTGTGCATTTTCACATTATTCTTTTAGTCAACTTTGAAAGATACACATTAGTTAAAGCCATACAAACACAAGTACCAGAGGATATTGGGTACAATAAGATGTACAGAAACAAATGCCTATAAAAAATATAAGATAATTTATTTGCCAAAGTCTAAGGAAAACAACATTTGTTGAAACTAAGTTTGTAGAACTCATTAAATAAGGACATGTTGATATACTGTAGAATTGAACCCAAGCAACAGGGCAGCATCTGACTGCTCTATTTGAATTTATCCTTTTATTACTGTGGTGACAGGTGTTCAGTCTCCATGTGTGCGTGAAGTGCTCGGACCATATTTTCATGTGTAAATGAGAACGGTCACATCCTCTGCCCTTTGGCTAGTATGGTTGATTAAGTCAATGCTGCATTAACAGATCTGTGGAATTGGTCTAACATTGGTTAAAACGTTGAGGATGTTTATTGCCACCATAATTAACAGAACAACGTAATCTGTCTAGCTTCAAAACGAAAAGAGGCTAAACGTTGTCTTCTCCCTTTCTTTTTGTCTTTAGGAACGCAACAGGTCAATTGACAGCTTCAACATGGGCCCTTTGGAGAGCTCCCTGATTGACATCATGAGGGCTGAGCAGGACACCTTGAAAGGTAACAATGGCCATTGTTCATCAAGAGACAAGCAATAATACTTGCCCCCAGTGGTGGGTACGGTTCTGCTAATAGCAGAACTAACTTTACGTTAAGTGGATTAATGTTTTTGCTAACTTTAATAACCTTTAGTGGAATTAGCTTCCGATAAATTTAAATATGGTAAATTGAAGTCTGCTAATTTTTTTTTATGCAGTTCTTCGCACTAAAAGCATACAGGAGAATAGTGATTAACAATTTTCTGCGGGATCAAGACCAGAAATGTTTGTCTCCCAGCCATTCCCACATGTCATGGTGTGTCTGAGCAAGACACCTAATCCCTCATTTCTCCCCGGGCGCTTACATAGCTGCCCACTGCTCCACCTGAGTGTATCTCATGTGGGATGGGTTAAATGCAGATAACTTATTTTGCCATTGTATGGGAACATTTAATGATGACAATCTCAGACTTCCCCTCCCTTCCCTTACACAGAGCTATGCAATGCTATGCAGCGCTAGGCAAAGCTAAGTTCCACCCAATGATGTCATCACTCTTGCAGTGCTTTCCCTCTCATATCTACAGCAAACTCTCTTTGACTAGCCAATGTGAGAGAGGCCTTCACTTGCTTAGAAGTTACCCTGGGGTCCTTTGTGACCTCGCTGACTATTACACACCTTGCTCTTGGAGTGATCTTTGTTGGTCAACCACTCCTGGAGAGGGTAACAATGGTCTTGAATTTCCTCCATTTGTACACAATCTGTCTGACTGGATTGGTGAAGTCCAAACTTTTTAGAGATGGTTTTGTAATGTTTTCCAGTCTGATAAGCATCAACAACTCATTTCTGAAGTCCTCAAAAATCTCCTTTGTTCTTGCCATGATACACTTCCACAAACATGTTGTTAAGAGCAGACTGTAATAGATCCCTGTTCTTTAAATCAAATAGGGTGCTCACGCACACCTGATCGACATCCCATTGATTGAAAACACCTGACTCTAATTTCACTTTCAAATTATCTGTTAATCCTAGAGGTTCACATGCTTCTGCCACTCACGAATATGCAATATTGGATCATTTTCCACAATAAATAAATAACCAAGTATAATATTTTTTTTCTCATTTGTTTAACTGGGTTCTCTTTATCTACTTTTAGGACTTGTGTGGAAATCTGATATTTTTGGTCACATTTATGCAGAAATATAGACAATTTTAAAGGGTTCACAAATTCAAGCACCACTGTATTGAATGCAGCAGGTTGTCAGTGTTTTTAAAGGGTGCAGCTTGCAATAATCACAGCTGAAGAATACCTAGTTTACAGAAAACACTACGGCTATGGTTAGTTGTTGGCTGAAAGGGAGGAGTTGGTTGATCTCTGAAAGGAAACACCTTTGACTTCCAGGAGCTTTAGTGGTTTTAGGCCATTTGGGTGGGGCACTACAAAAGAAATGGTCAGTAATTACGATTCTTTATTAAAAAAAAAAAAAATCCCAAGATTTAGTCTTGTATTAAATCCAAATTGTTACAGTTTAGCTAATTTAGCTAAATAGCTAACATAAGTTGGTTTGTACTTAAATCCTAATGTAAAACAATCTTAAAACCTTTGTTTTTTTTTAACTCGCACATCACAGGCCCTATAATCTAATGATTTTCTGTTTAATCACATTAAGTTCCTTAACTTTATGATCATAAAAGGTGCCCCCTTGTAAATCTTTCAGTTCCATGGTAAGAATATCAAAACAAGTGAAAACAATGAACTCGAGTTACCTCTTCACTAGTATGTGGTATTGTTTTCGCCTTAAACTCACAAGATTCCTCACACCTGGCTCAGAGTTTGTGCTCTGTTGTCAAAACTTAGTAAGTCTTGCCTCAATGTTAACAGAATAACACTTGAAGACTATTTTATTAGCAGTCTTACAGTATCTGGAGTTTTAGCTTTTCTGACATAGATTCCTACACCTGTCATGGCATATATAACTTATACACTATAATATTACATTAATATAAGGGCTCTGTTCTTTCACTTTTGCTGCACTGTTTTTTTTTTTTTTCTTTAAAAAGAGTTGCCTGGTAGCATCTTTCTGATAAAACAAATAAACGTTCTGATTTCATAATTTTGAATTTAAAATCATATTTAGCATTATGGCAAGATTTTTTTCACACATATCTCATTTGTGTTTTGTTTTTCTCTCCCCTTGTCTGGTTTGTTTTTATAGTGTGACCCATTGTGCTATGGTGTCACATGATGCATCACAGCATATTCTGTTCCCTGCTATCAATTGCCTTCTGTTAAACATACACATTCATGCAAACACAAGCATGACAAATACCATACACACAACATTTAGATTAGAAACACTATGCATACATTTCTTGTTTCAGTTAAACATACTGAACCAAAGGAGTACAATAAAGCAAAAGGATGGCCGAGACAAAATGTCTACAGTAGAAGTGGCTTTGAATTGCTTCCAGCATTGTTCAGACTGACAGAAAGGATCCCTCTGTTCAGTCACCACACATAAACACACCACTGTGTTGTGTGAGCTAGTGTGTACGTGTGCTTTAATTGTAAGTGTGCTGTCTGTGTGTGTGCAGCCAGTGGCATGCAAATAAGATTCACAAAGCAGCCACACACAGTTCAGCAGATAAACAGGAATACGATGTACCTGCTTGTTCCTTCGAGGCTACCAAGGTTTCTAATCCAACCTGATGGGTTGTACTCTCATGGTTACTAAGTTATGTAGAAAAACAAACTGGTAAAAAATTGTAGTGAGGGGTGAGATTGCCATTACAACCTGCTTTTGATTTTGTTTTAGTTTGTAATTATGAATTAATTTTAATTGACTAAACCCTTCACAAACACACCCAACGTTCAGTACAATGAGGCCAGTAGTGAGATTATACTGTACTGAGATTTTAATGAATGCTTTTGAGTGTATGGAAACTTGTTGCAATATTTAATACCGTTGTGTAGTTGTGGTTTTTATTTAGTTGCACTTCAGTTTCAGTTCTGTGGGGCTCAGTTTGTAAAGCGTGGGGGAGGAACTAACATATTTCCTTGTGACAGAGGCACCGGAATGCACCAATCGCCAGGCGGTCCAAATCCATGCAACAATGGTTGCACTATTTAAGCTCTTTCATCTAATTATTCCTCTGCTGCAAGCAAGACTTGCATAACTTTGAAGCTTGTTTGGCATCGTAACATGTTTGTGTAGGAGATGGTGTCTGTCTGTTGGATGGCCCTGGCAAATGGCTCGCTATAAAATGGATGATATGAGGCTTAACGTAGACGATACAGTTGGAGTAAACGGAGGTTGATGAGAAGAAGAGAGATGTTGATATCCTAAAGATGTAGTCTCTGATATGACTGATATAGAGATCCATCCATCCATCCATCCATCCATCCATCCATCCATCCATCCATCCATCCATCCATCCATCCATCCATCCTCTTTACCCGCTTCTTCCTTTTTGAGTTGTGGGTGTCACTGGTGCCCATATCCAGCTATCACTGTGCAAGAGGCGAGGTACACCCCGGACAGGCTGCAAGTCCATCACAGTGACATAGAGATATATTTTTATAACTCGTGCAAATAATAACGTTTTTATTCAGAAAAGCAAACCTTTTGTGTCTTTGTCCTGTTTAAAGGAGAGTTCATGTATCTATCAGCATCGGAATGGGTCCTAAACCTTTCAAGATTTCCGAAACATGCTTTCTGCAAAGAAACGATTAATGTAACCAGTGCTGGTTTTTGCAGTGTTGCATCACTCTTTTTGCATGCTCAAAAAGTTAGTTATAATATTTGCTCTTTTTTGCCCATTTGTGTTTTCAGTCTGTAGCAGAACATAATACAAGGTTAAATATTTTTAATTGTAAGAGATGCAGTCCTTTGAGTGTGTGCGTGCGTGTGCGCTTTTGGCTTTCTCTGGCAACGTGAAAATGTGTGCTGACCAAGACAGGTTCCCTGTGGTACAACTTCAAGAAATGTAAACACACTGAATAGTAACGTTTAAAATCTCAGCTTGTTTTTAAATGTTGTTTTCCTGATTGTTTATAAGTTTAAACACCAAGCATAGCTAATTTAAACATAGTCTTTTTTTATTGGAGTTAAATACTCTTCCAGCAAATAACATGATCTGCATACATATCTGGGATGTTTTGAAGGGGCCAGTACAAAAAGGAATGCTAAACTCTCATGCCTTATCCCTTTACTGCAGTAATCAAGCTTTTGTCAAAATTAGAATCCACTGACTTATAGTATTAGTAGTACTACTTCATATGTTTCAGCTAATGTGGTTGTCATTTTCTGAAGCTACACTTAATTTATTCTCAGAGTAACAGCATCCAACCTATTAACATCTTTTTGTATTCTAACTAAACTGAGAAAGCATTTGTTCCTAATAGTAATTATATTCAAAATCTAGTATGCATAAAAAGACTCGCACAAGAATAAAATCAAGATCTCTGTAAATATAAAACATGATACATATTTTTGTTCTGTCTTCTTGTGTAGGTCGTCTTGGGTTTCCCCACCCAGGAGGGGAGAACCCTCTCCCCCTTAACGGTACGTATTGTAACCTGCGCACCCCTTTCAAGTGTCTGCCAACATTTGAAACTGGGGATTCAAACTAATGTGCAAAACACAAAAATATAATTTTTGCAAAATAAATTGGACCTTTCAGAATATATATATATATATATATATATATATATATATATATATAAAGGAGACATTGTTTTTATTAGAAATTCTAAATTTTATTAGTACAATACTGTTCTTTTTGAAGGATCATATCAAGTTAGCGCTGTGGGTGATGTGGATAACTGTAAGGAAGGATTACCTGAACGTAGCGACATTTGTAAACCAAAGCTCTGGTAAATCTGTGTTGGTGAACACTGAGCATAGCAGGTGGAAACGTTTGGACGATGTACAACCACCTGAATGTCTGCGTCTTGTGGCATCCTGAGCCTACCGTTTCTTTGCTTGCCTCGGCTTAAATCCAAGCTAGTGTTGAGCTGCTCACTCCTCTGTTTTCTATTCTTTTTTTGTTGTGACTGCAAAGTAAAGCTGGCTTTTCCTTTCTTGCTAGCACGAAAAGTAATTTTGGTTGCAGCCTTTGATCTTGTTGTGAAACTTTTTTGGTGTTCTCCCCCTTTACTCTGACTTCTCATACTGCTTTGTTCCTGCACCGAGAGGTAAATGAAATAAGTGAAGGAAATAAAAGAGGTACAGGTAATAGAATAACGGCCTTTGGTTTGGTAAAACTTTGTAAGCCATGCTATAAAAGGGTGATAGACACAAAAGGTGCAGATAAAAATATTATTGAGGATGTGTTATGCATTATGTCTACAGCCATCTTTTAAAAAGTCAAGCAAAGATGGTACATTCAGTTGTGTAAGAGTAACTGCTTTTTTCTTTGATTGTCTTTATCTATCCATGACTGTGGTTTTGCAACTATGGCCAGCGTGTAAAACAGGAGAGGCCAGTTAGCTTCTTGAAAAGCCTGCTGGGTCACATGATTAGATCACATGGTCAGGAGCTGTCATCTTGCCCTAAGACAGATGGTGCCAGCGGATATAGGCTGCACACCATCTCTCCCTCTCCCTCCCTCTGCCTCATAAGGATACGCAGATTGCATTCCTCATTCTCTTGATCCCACCCCCCTACAGTCACTCTCATTTTCTCTCACCCCCACACAGCTTTTTATCAGCTCATTTCTTCTTCGCTTCTAATCTATTTTTCTCTCCCTCTCACACACACACATCTTTTTATAGCACCCTGTGCTCTCTCTCAATCTGCTTTACTGCCTCTTCTTATTTTCTCTGTTTCTGGCTCCTTTTGACCTGCCCGGCAGAGTTAATGTCCATCTGGTTTGGACAGTCCACTGAGGGAGACGAGGATTATTGCTTGTGTGTCCTGGTAGCTCTTTCCACGTTTTCACAGTTTTTGTTGATGCCTGCGTTTGAGTTATTTCACTTTGGCTCTTTGTTTAAAAAAAAACAAAACCTTAAATAATTACTCATTCCAAAGTTGGCCACACTGGTACCAGCACACTTACAAATTCACAACCACTGAACCAGTTTAGATCAAAACCAGTTTAGATCATACAGGATAGATAATGGTTTTTCAGTTTTTGAGACTCAGGCATTGTCAGATTAGGACTGTTTGACCAAGAACACAGTTTTGAAAGTCGTGCACACAACAATAGGCTGTGATTTTCAAAAATTGGCAACTCAAAATGCAGTTGCGTGGTTCACTGGTCACCTGGTCACAGACACTCATAGTTCACTGTGACTGTAATGGAAAATTAGCCTTTTTTTTTTTCCTACTCTTGAGTTGCCAGGTAGTCTTCAACAGTCACAGCCCAGTGAGATACCACTTTAAGGTCCAGACTCTGGCTTAGTTCTTTGATTACATGATTCATTTGAAGGTGCCAACATCTTCCCTGTTGTCTGTGAATTTACAATTTTTACTTTTCTGTCAAACTGACAAAAAAGAATCAGCCGCACAATTGTTTTAGTTGACTTATTTAATCATGTGCCAATTTAATTCTAACTAAGATTTTTTACTTGTCTTTGTGTATGACTGCGTTTTCATTTGCACAACATTTTAGTGTTTCACTTTAGGCGTCTCCAGTTTTACAATGGCATGTTTGGGGTTTATTAAATCCCATAGTGTAACCCTTCCTGTGGTCTTTGTTGTCAGTTGCCTTGTTTACAGTCCCCCATGGCAGTGTGCTACAAAATCATATTTCTTTAATTGTCACAGGAGTTCATTTATTAACAAAAATTGTATTGCTTATGGGTGTTCAGTTTTGCCACTTCTTTACTGGTGCACGTTTAGTCGTAATAAATCAATCCTCTGCGACTCTAGAGTAAACGGAGGGAAAAATCAAATTTGGTTTATTAAGTAAATGAAAAGCACAAATAAATCTTTGCTCCTACACTGAGATATTCTTTCTCTTTGTGCTTTTACATCAACCATCATCTCCTTTGGTGGTGACGCATGCTGTTGTTGTTGTTGTTGTTTTTTTACATTTTATGGTAGATTTTTGGTGATAAATAATTATTCAAAAAATAAAACGAGTCCACTCTGTTAGTACGTAATGGGATTGATATGAGTGTGGGAACAGCAGCGTGAGCTGATTATGATTCACTGCTGATTACCCAAATCAAGGGTGAGCAGACTGACCATGGACCATCATTGTCATGGACCACCTGGCACTTTTATTGCTTCAGATTATTATGCAACATTTCTAAACGAGCTCTGCTTTGATTTGTCTTTATTCCACATGCAGCCAGGAATTATAACAGGAGACGAGGTAAACCATATTCATGAGTAAATGAATTAATTATGTCTATTTGTTGCAAATTTTGCTTTGTGGGTGTCAGTGGTTTTTCTTATTTTTTTATATCTTTTTCTGTGTAAAGATGTTTTTTTTTTTTGGAATTTATTTGATATGGACTGTTTGTTTTTCCACATTTAGGATCATACATATTTTGAATCCTTTTGTCTTTTTTCAACATATTTGTCTGCATGAAGGTTTATTATGAGCTTGTGAAGTATTTTTTGTTCCTTTTCATGCTTTACTCCGCTTACATTTTCCTCTTCACACACATTTTGTAGCATTAAATCAGGCAATACAAGCGAGTGTTACATTTAGCCAACGCTTAATGAAGCAGTGAAGCTCAAACCATATCGCTGCGACTGAAGCAGACACATGGCACACACTGGAAGTTAAGACTAACACGCCTGCATAAATCTTTATAAAGCAGCTCAGGGCAGGTTGTATAGGAGCAGGAATGGGCCAAGGACAGCTTAGCCTCCGCCACGCATATGTTCCACAGTGAAACTGTTCAGACATGCTCACTTAAGAGGGCTCCAATCTGCATCCATGTTCAGTTCAGTAAAAAGTCCAATAAGAAGAATTCACAATATTCTGTTCATTTCTTACTGGACAGTTATTTGTCATGTCGTCACATCACTTATCTTTATACTTTTATCCCTTCTTGGGATATAAATCTGTTCCACTGACCTCCCTCTTCTTTTTCTCAGGCCACTCCTCTCTCTTTCCCATGGAGGATAGTTTCCCTGATGACGAGCGTGGGGATCAGGGTCTCGCAGGTCTGGGCTCTCCACACTGCTTCCCTCATCAGAACGGGGAGCGTGTGGAACGCTACTCGCGCAAGGTTTTCGTTGGCGGACTGCCTCCAGATATAGACGAAGGTACAGTAGTTGCATTAAAATCACGAGAACTCAATTTTGTGGCTAATATTAGCTGAAGTTACTTAATCTCTGAGACAGAATAATAGAATATTACTAGACACAGACGCTCAGAATGCTGCTGTTTTTTTAAAAATCAGCGTTTTCTTACAAAACCCTGCCTTTGTGTTCTGGTTTTCATACAGATGAGATAACAGCCAGTTTCCGACGTTTTGGACACCTGTTTGTGGATTGGCCCCACAAAGCAGAGAGCAAGTCCTATTTCCCCCCTAAAGGTATCTTAAATAACCACAAGTTCACATGTTGCTGTCATTTTTTTCGTCAACTCAACAGATTTTTTTTTTTTTTTTTTTTTGTGTATGTTTATTTCTTTCGACGAAGCTGAAAACGTGTCCTTTTGTATCTATGTCTTTAGGGTTCTTCTGTAATTCAAACGTTATATTAGAGTGTTGTTTGAATACAGCTGGGGTTTGGTTTTTGTTAACCATATTTGAAGGGTTTCTTGTATTTTTTCTTGCTGCAACAAAACAAAAGCAGTGTGTCGTGATCACAGTAATCAGCACATTAAATTCCAGGAAGACTGTCAGCTTTTTTGTGTCCTGAGCAGCTCCAATAACCCTGCTGTGTTTTATGCAGGCTACGCCTTCCTGCTGTTCCAGGATGAAAGCTCCGTGCAGGCTTTGATCGACGCCTGCATAGAGGAGGACGGTAAACTGTATCTCTGCGTATCCAGCCCCACCATTAAAGACAAGCCGGTCAGTGAGAACACAAATGCAGCTGCTGATAACTTTCACTTTTCCCCCGTTTCGTTCAGTGGTTCAGACATTTGTACGACCAGCTTCCGTAGACCTGAAACCTCACTGATTTGTGTGCAACAGGTTCAGATTCGCCCGTGGAACCTGAATGACAGTGATTTTGTGATGGATGGGTCTCAGCCCCTGGACCCGAGAAAAACCATCTTTGTGGGAGGAGTTCCTCGTCCGCTCCGTGCAGGTATCTTATGTTTTTCTACCAAACCAAATGACAACAAGCGTCTGTTTGTAATAAAAACAGTTTGATTTGAAGTAAATACTCGGCCTACGGGTTGAATCTTAGGTGTTATCACAGATCTCCCGTATTTTGAGTCATTAATTAAAGGTCTTTAAAATGTTCCTCATGTTTGTGTCACATCTCTGCATATTTATTTAGACATCACAAGTAAGCAATAAGAAATAACTGTAATTTACCTCTTGATTTGTTCCTATGTTGCTTTTTTATGGTAGCTGCAAGCAAGAGGTTTCTTTCAACAATGTGATGAACTGCTGGAGGGTAGAACCACAAAGGAGCTGACCTACACTAGTTGTATTAGAATGGACTCTGCAGCATGCTGAGCTGAATAATACATTTATAATTATTATTTTTTTTGATATTGGCATTATGTGGACTGTTTGCACTGCTGGATGTGGTGTTTAGACCTCTGCACCATAGTTGTGGTAATGACCAAGGTCACGAGGCCCTGTGGTATGTTAAATATTTTATGAGCCTTTGAGTAAAAAGGGTTTAGATTTAAAAAAAAGAAGGAAATTGCCAATTGTCTTTTCTAAATTTTATTGAGTAAACCTGATTTTGTGTGTTTGTGCATTTCTACCCCTCCACAGTGGAGCTGGCTATGATCATGGACCGCCTGTACGGAGGAGTTTGCTACGCTGGCATCGACACAGACCCTGAGCTCAAGTACCCCAAGGGAGCGGGGCGGGTCGCCTTCTCTAATCAGCAGAGCTACATTGCTGCTATCAGTGCTCGCTTTGTACAGCTGCAGCATGGAGAAATCGATAAACGGGTGAGTGGAAAGAAAAGAGCAGAGTGTTTTTCTGCTTCCTTTCTCCAGCTCTCTTCTTTCTTCAGTTGCACGCACGCACGCACGCACGCGCGCACGCACGCACGCGCGCACGCACGCGCGCACGCACGCGCGCACACCTTACTTCCTGTTCTTTTATCTCAATCATAACTACCTTTGTTTCATTTATTTGAATCAAGTAAAATAGTCACAGTGTCAGTTTTTATTATTATAGTCTAATAAACATATTTGTTTACTAAAAAAATGAGATAAAAAATAGTATTTGTTCAATTTATGATCAGTTCTTGCATAAACAGCTCATTAAAAATGCTCCAACTTGTTTTTTTTATTTGAACTGTTTGGCTTTATTTGTCTTATTACATTATAAAACGAAAAGACTGTTGTCTGTGGAGTAGAATAACAACTTTTATAATTAATTTAGTTGCTGTAGACTGCATGTTTCTTGTTAAAAGGCTCATTAAAAGTCATAACAGATTTTTTAAAGAAAACTTTCTGCAGGTTAACCTGTAGCTGTTGCATATTTGTCAAGAATCCAAATATTACAAAACATTATTTTACTGATGCATCTGTGCTGATTTGAGCTGTAGTTGTCCCCCAAATATGAGTCACAGAAAATAGTTTGTGGGAGCAATAACTGGAATTATTAAATTTGAAATAAAGGGCCTAAAATTTCTCCTCCCACTCTAAAACTGTTTGCTTTTTTTGACGACTGCAGATGACATCCTTACATTTTACTATCGGAACAATACAACAGATTATTTTCTGTTCATAAGTTAATACAAACAGAAATTTATCATTAACAGATGTGTCTTTTTTGTTAAGAAATGACTAAGCTTTGTAAGTCTGTTTACAACCACCTGTAAATGACACATATGTTGTTAACATTTGCACATGTGAAGTTGTTGTGCAGAACATAAAATGCTTGAAAGGAAGTGCAACGCTTTTTCTTTTTGCATAATTGGTGCACAAATTTTGTATATTGAGCATCTTGGTGACATCCTCTTGCTAATAATTGCACCGTGCTGAGTCAGAAGGCTCAAGAGAAAGGAATTCAGGTGTGTTTGGAAATAATCTGCAAGACATTTGAAATGTTTCTAAAACTATATTATCTGTCGAATCAACACCAGAATTTTCAGGCCTAGCGTTAGTGCTTCATTCAACCATCAAAAATGATTTGTTGTCAAAGTTGTTACTTTGCAGACAAGTTGTTGGTAAATGTCGACCTACAAGGCTCTAACATCTGTGAAAAATATGTAGCTTTATTTATGAACCTGCTTTCAGTGGGAGTGTTGTGTGTTAACATGAACTATTAGCAACAGAAAATGTGTGGGCTGGAGTTCCAGGGAACATTTCAGAGTCTAAATTAAAATGCTTACAAAAACACACTGAATTACAACCCCAGTTACTCAAATTTGGGAAGTTGTTTAAAATATAATAACAATAATAATATTAAAACCTGTCTTCTTATTGATATGTCCATTCATTTGTAAAGTCACACTTGTAAATGGACTGTACTTACATAGCACCTTTCTATCTTATCAAGATACTCTTAAGTGCTTTACACAACAATCTGTGCCCTCATTTACCCGTTCATACAGCACTCTACTAGATCTGTACAAAACTAATTGAACAAATCATTCTAAAGAGATAATAAGAACTTTATCACATTCATACACTGATGGGACACACATGGGAAGCAATGAGGGGTTCAATGTCTTGTCCAGGGACACTTGGGCATGTGACTGCTGGTGGATTCGAACCCCCAACTCTTGCATTGGAGGACGACTTGTGTTAAAGTTGTTGAAAAACTAGTCGCATGTAAAGACCTGGGAATACGAGTTGAACATGTATGGGGCCTAAAAACACAAACTGTTGGAGTAATAATCAAAGCATTGGGACTTGTCAGAATGAGGATGGACAGGGTCATCAACCAAATCGCAGGCAACAGAAAAGTGACAGAACTACAAAACAATCACACAACTGGGGACAACATGTGTTTGAGAAAAGGCCCTTTCCATCAAATACGCCTCATCTCCATCCATGCCTCATTATGACCCTAGGCTCATGGTTTGAGTCCCGGTGTAATGTTGTGAAATGACAAACTGCACAACAAAACCCAATATTTTTTTAAAATGATAACATTATTATTATTATTATCGTGTGTGATGAGGCATTCAAAGTCTTCAAAAGCTCAGTTATTCACAGACTAATAAACCTCTGTCCATGTTTACTCTGAGAAGTTCAGCCTCTTTTTACACCCAGTCCTCTCACTGACCTGTTGTAAATTAACATAATTCGTTAGAAAATCCTCCTCCAGCTGTTTTTGATTCCTACTTCTTACTTTTACAGCTTTTTGTTCTTTTTTTAAAAATGTGTTGCTGCCATAAAATTCAAGACTACAGTTTTTATGATGCAGTTCATTTAAACTTTGATGTATTTACTGTGTTCCACTGTGAGTAAAGTATGAGTTTGAGATGTGCACATTATTGTTGCATTCTGATTTTACAATTTACACAAGATCCTTGTTTTTGGAATTGAGTGTTGTATTTGGTGAAAAGCACAGTTTTACTAAAAGAGAAAAATGTTGATCTATAAGGACCAGCACGGGTGGTGTTGGCCAGGTTGCTCTACTGTTCATCTGTTAGACAGCATGAGTTTTGTGACCTTTTATTGTGAAAAGGTAACAGTTCCCCCTCCGCCTGCAGGTGGAAGTGAAGCCATATGTGCTCGATGACCAGCTGTGTGACGAGTGCCAGGGAACTCGCTGCGGTGGGAAGTTCGCACCGTTCTTCTGCGCCAACGTCACCTGTCTGCAGTACTACTGCGAGTACTGCTGGGCGGCCATCCATTCCCGCGCCGGGCGAGAGTTCCACAAGCCTCTGGTGAAGGAGGGAGGCGACCGGCCCCGTCACATCTCCTTCCGCTGGAACTGAGCAGAACGACAGAGCAGGGGAGAGGAGGGCAGGTAGTGCAGGAGTCGCGAATCATTGTACAAATAAATGCACTTTTCTGTTGCTGGTTCCTTTTTGCTCTAATTTCACCTAACATTATTATTATTATTTTTATTTAAAGTTAATATATATCAATATTTTAAAGATGGAAAAGAAAAACTGGATTATATCCAAAATGGTCCATCTAGGAAAAAAAGATGTGTAACATAATTTTATTTTTTCTTCTTATTCTTGAAATACTTTTAAGTTCTCAGACAAAAACATATATATTTGACATATAGGAAGGTTTGATGTGTGGTGTGGTACTCTGCTATTCAATTGGCATATTTTTTTCAAAACAAAACCTCATTTCCTTTTGATAGAAGAGGCCCTAATTTGACATTTAGCTGTCATATATTGTAGCAGAGCTGTAACCTTTTGTACAGTCTTCACAGCGATCGCTGCTGAAGTTAGAAGGCTCTTTATTTCTGAAAGGTGGATTAAATTAGCCAATGTTGCAAGAGACTCCAGAGCAAATGTGAGTAACAAAGAAGAGTGCACTTATTTCCAATTTAAAGAGTGAAGACACCGTAGATAAAACCCCTTTGTTGTTAACCAAAGCTGAATCCTAATTACCTTTGAAGAACGGAAAGGGCCCACGCAGAAACTAAACAGATTCTTACTCTCCCACTTTTTTTTTAACGATTTGTTTCCATTCATTCAACAAACATTTTGACGTTACTTGAAAATTGCAAGAAAATTTTTAGCAACACAGATTTGGGTTTTGATCTCCATTGTAACATGCAAAAACTAATACCTCAAACTCAGCTGCTAATGTGCCGAATACAGTAAGAAGAAGAAGAAAAGCAAGTAAGACAGAAAACTTTAACACTCTGGTGTTTTCCTTCCCTTTGAATTCTAATCAGAGGGAAGTGATGTTACACAGAGGGTGACGTAACTGGCACAGTTTTGTATTCACTTGCTTCATCACCTCCTTATTTTTGTAATCAAACCCAGGGTTGTGCTAGCGACAGAGCGAAGCATCGTACAGTATACAGTGTATTATGGGAATGTATGGCTTAGAGAGGCTATGGGAGAGACGGGGATAAATGCAGCCTACTTCCCTTCCTCACGTCTGGTAGCGGCCTTAGCTGCTAGCCTAGCAGCTAAGACAGGGCAGGGCCTCAGTTTTTGGATCACAACCTGCTTTCTGTGTCTGCACAGAGCAGAGCTTCGATCCGGTTCTTTCAGCACATGAAGTGAAAGCAACTCCTCGAGAGCGGGCCTGTCCGCTTGCAGCCCGCGTTGCAGATTTAGATTTAGCCGGGCCGCCACCTAAAAGGAAACGCCTCTCTTTAGTTTTCTTTAAACGCATTTGTGCAATTCTCCCAAGTCCTTAATGACAAAGTGCTACTTTGCATCCGAGAGCGAGCGACATTTAATGAAAAAGAAAAAAGGCTGATCGGCTTTGCAAATCGTCAGCACACACTTGAGTCACGGAGGGATCTGCCCTTTCGGCGAACCCTTCCATCCCTTCTGCTGCCAAGTTAATCCAACTCAGCATCCAGTGTTTGTTAAAGCATAAATGAAGATAGTCTCAGCAGCGTGCTCTACTACTACAATACACTTGTGACCCACGTGCAGTTTGAGAACGACATCGCAGGCCCATCCGGTCGTAGCCGGTGGCTTACGGGAACCAAAGATGGTTGTGCAGTAGTGGGTCACACTGTAGCTCATTTCTTGTCTTGATTTTTACGTTCTCTCTTTTTTGTTTTTGTTTTATTCTTCATATATATTTTCATAAATCTACCACTTCTATCCAGTCGTGTTGAAACTCTCAAGCCCTGACGGACTCGACAAACCAAAGATTGGCCCCGAACACCACCTCCACAGGATGTGTAGTAAACACGCACACACTGGAGATTTCTACGTGACAACACGAGTGGAAAACCTGCAGGGCTTGCAGACAAACAAGGCCTCACGTTCTCTTTAGCTCAAAGTGGAGCCACCGCTTCTATTTTGTACCTGAACTAGCTTGGGGAAATTTAACATGAAGTGCACATTCCCACGGCGAACGCGAAAAGTAATCCTCATTTGCTATTTGACGTCACTAAGTGGCGACCTTCTAGCCGAGCATTTAAACGTCAGGGAGTTCGTACAGAAACTTGATTACACACACTAGTGAGAATCCTCAAGTCGGCGCGGCGTCGTTGCACCAGTTATTTTCTTTTGCACCCGGAACGTTAGTGTTTTTTTGTGGGTGTGTTGGGTGAGCATTTTAGAAGTTAAAACACTTTGTGAAGAATTTGCTGTTAAATGAGATGAAAAAAAAATTATTTTATACATGGCCTGCTGATTTTTTGGTACAGTGTTTTCTAGCTAAATTATTTTGTCATGCACATATAAACATTTATTATGCACTACTTTTCTAAATATTTTTTTCTCCTTTTTTTTTTTCAACAGTCATTTTAGGCACATTTTTCACAAATGGGGAAACTCCTTTTTGCAATACCTCAATTTTTCACATTGTGAAAGGTAGCTTTTGTACTTTTGTTACTGAGAGATCTGCATATATGGAGATGTTCATTTTAAGAAAAAGAGAAAAAAAAAGTCGAGCGGTTTCAATATATATTATTATTATTTTCAATTATGCTTTTTATACATTTCTGTGCTGAGGAATCTTTACAACTTTTCAAGTGCGCAGTTGTGTTGACGCGACTTCAGATCTGCAGAGGACAGACCAAAGCTCGTTTGGTCTTAGCTTTCCGTACGTTAGACGTTTCCAGCCAATCTGGTCCATAACAGCATGGAGAAATAAATAAAAACAAACAAACAAACAAAAAAAAAATTTCATGTAAATGTGTCTAAACCTACTAGTTGGAACTTCCTCTCCGTAGACGGAGCGTAACTTATTACGAGGAGAATGCAAAATCTGGTTCACGCTTAACGCTGAATCTCACACGAATGGATGTTTGGTGTTTAGATATTTTAATATTTGAAAAATATATATATACATATATATATAAATATATTCTTGAACTTGCCAACTAGCACCTATCGTAATCCTTAGCATGCATGACGAAAAAAAAGCGAGAGAAAACGACAAGTACATGAATTAGCTATAAAAATTAATTGTTGTGGTGTGCACCAAATGTTTCTCAACTATTACGTTAAGAACCCACCCCTCTTTCCCCTCGTGTCATACCTCTCTGTGGAGCGGTAACCGTAAAAAAAACAACAAAAAAAAAACACTTTGAACTAAAGCGCAGGACTCGGAGCGTCCGAATGAAACACTGTTCAAAAAGACTTGAGAAGTCGCCCCCGCCGTCTGTCCGTCGAGGCGATCTCACATAGACCTATCTGGAGGAAGGGGAGCTTAAAAAGACTTGAATGTGGTAAAATGTTGCAAGTTAACTTCAAGTTGTTATGTGCAATACTTCTTTTGAACCTTTTTCCAGATAAAGACTCTTTGCAATGTAATTCTTTAATGCCATTTTTAATTGCAGACATTTAATTAAAGATGTTAATATGTTTTTCACAGTCATTTTCTACTGTTATTGTAATCCTTTTCATGCTGGTGTTTGTAAAAAAAAAAACAGAACGAAAAGAAATGAAACTATTTGTACTAATATAAATAATTGAAGTTATTTTTAAAACATTCAAAAAAAGGTTTTTGTGCTCATTTGCTTATTATTTTTTTTGTTTATTTTAAGCTACTGTGATTGATTGCATTGTAATTATTAGGTCAACGATGTATTTAGCTGTTTATTGGTATATTTTTAATTGGAATGTATAATTGATTTTTATAATTTTGATCAGATTTTTGTTATATTTTTGAGGTGAAGCTTTTAATATGTTAAAGTGTCTAGTTTTTACTAATTGCTATATTGTGCTCCACAATATATGGTTCACATTTTCTGAAGGAAAATAAATATTTAAATATTTGTCTGTTAATGTTACTTAATGGCAAGATTTCAATAGTTTTTAACTGTGTATGGGAAGGTTGTTGTATTTATTAATAGCATTTTTTTACTTAAGATATCACCTTAATTTTTATTGTCATTTCACTTTATAAGTTCCTATTTTTGTATTTTCCTTTCTAATTAAGTTATGTAATACGGATATGTCCATATTTCTTGGAGTTGGTCTGTAGAAGTGCTTGTGAAACGACAAAAAGAAAAATCTAATGTTATTTAATTGTTTGCAGCCAACTATTTATAACAGTATGCATAATTTTTCAATATTTGTAATGTGAAATGTTGAATGAAATAAATCTTAACTGTGATGAAAAGAACGCCTGTGTGGTTATTCGTGCAACATTTTAGACGTGTAAAGCTTCTCACGTGTCTGTTTTTTTTATCTTCAGCTTGTTTCACGTCTTATAGATTTTTATTTAGACTTTTTGAAACGACCTGACCTTCATCAGATGAAGTGTAACCTAGCAACAAGCAGCTTCACGCTCTCACTTCTGAGACGATCAGACGATTGACCCGAGCCACAAACGCCTTCGGGCTTTCAGCGCGTGCCGGCTGAAGAAGTAAACTGTTTTCTTTAACACGTTTCCAGAAAAGTTTAGAAAAACAAAGTTTCTTTACTGCGTTTTCTAAAAGTTTCGAACCCGTTTCTAAAACTAGCAGAATAGTATTTAATGAGAATGTGCAGTGTGAACAACGAGTGCTGAATGACTGCCGAAGTTTGCTAAAGAAGCTGAAACTGAGGTGTTAAATCTAAAAGAAGCAATACACTAGCTAAAAGCTAAAATTTGTAAAAGGCTAGCTAAATACTAAATGTAACAATTAGCTGAAATATAGCTTACTTTTGCCAAGGCTACCTAAGAGCAAATGATGCATGGCTAAAAGCTAAATGTAGCCAAAGGCTAACTAAGAATATAAAATCATTTAAAAAAAGACATTTTTACTTATTTACAAAAATGTAAAATTAATTGACACGATTTGTTGGTGTTTTTACCACCTCAAGCCTGAGGAGTAACTTATCAACGATTTTGCTTCCTGTAATAAATAATGAATAATAAAAGAACCACTCTCAGCGCACAAAAAAAGGATACTTTTGGAAGGAAAATAATATATTTTTTCCCGTTTAAATCTTCATTGGCACATAAAAAATATCCCATGTGGGCTGGGCTAAGTTTTGATTTACTAGCTGAATGCGTAATGAACAATAAATAAATAAAATGTGGAGGTTCTGCTAACTACTGGGTCCTTGTCCGTTATTAATGTTTTTCAAAGTGGGGACCTAGGGGGTCTTCAGAAAGCTGGAGAGAATAAGATTTTGAAAAAGCAAAAAATAAAAAATAGTAATAATAATAAAAAATGCACACTATGGCAATCTGTATCTGTCATTTCCAGATAAACACGCTTGAGAGAAAAGTGCTTCTGTTTTGTTCTTCTGGTCAACAGTTTGTTGAAAAGTTTTTTTTTTTTTTCAGTGGGAATATAATATGTTTAAAACATGTTAGTAACATTTTTATGCTCAGCAGCTGTAATAATTAATTTAATATAGTGAATACAAGTTAAAACATTCTAAAAGTTGATGTTTCTTGACATATTTTGTAGCATTGTTTGTGGGTTTGCGAGGGGGGGCCTTGGTCAGAAGCTAATGCCATTTTGGGGGCCATGGCATGGAAAAGTGTGGGAACCCCTGTGTTATTTAGGTTGATTTTAGTTTTTTTTTATTATTGTTTCTTAAGGCATTATCAGTAATCTGTCCCGGTCTAATCTACAGCATCTTTGACATAATTATATGTAATCTAAAACACTGAGGATGAGTAAATGGATGCTCTTAGATGTTCCCATGTTTAAATACAAATGATTGTACTCTTGTAGATGCTACAAATTTATGAAATAATTTACATACTATTAAAGAATTACTCTCTTCCACACCTGTCTCTTAGAGACATGTTATTTATTTAGGAAAGACAACTTCTTTCAGCTTTTCCCTCTTCAGTGGTCGCCACAGCGAGTCATCCTCCGTCTCTCTCTGTCCTCTGCATCCTCTGTCCTCAATCAAACTACCTCCATTTCCTCTATTGCACCCATATATCTCCTCTTTGTCTTTTTCCTGGCAGCTGCATTTCTAACATCCTTCTACCAATAAAAGTTTTTTTTTATATATAAACTAATTTAGGAAAGACAACAGTTTTACAAAACAAAGTTAAAAAAAAGCATCTGTATTAAATTAGATAATAAAGAGACCTACTGCAGCTTCAACTTTCATTGTCTGGTACAGCAAAAGGTCATTTAAGCAAGTTTTTATAAAGTTGCATTTATATTTTAATCTTTCATGGACTCAATGCAATTAGTCCCAAATAACGGTAAACTAATATTAAACACGAAGGACTTTGTCATGTGTTCATTAATTTACAAACGCATCCTCCAAAAATCTGCCTCTGTGAGAGTTGTATGTCACCAACAAAACCGCCAGGGGGCGCTGTAGGACAAAAAGAACCGACGTCTGCACTACTTCGACTGCATTACATTTAAGTGCTGCCGGAAATAATTTCTTTCAGCCAAACGAATAATTTAGTCATTAAAAAACAAAACACAGTGAGGAGTTTGTTGATCTTTATATCAATTCTAATATAATATTTGCAAGATATAAATCATTCTTGGGGAGATAAAGTAACGTTTAAAAGAAGTATTTCGCCCCCTCTCTTAAGAATGGAAGTTTACGAGGAACATGGAACGCAACATCACCGGTTTTCACTTTAACCAAACAAACCAGACGCAGAGGGGAGGGGGGAATTACAAAATAAATAAATAAATAAATAAACGGTCCCCTCTAGCTGTAGCTCCAGCTGTTGGGTGCAGCGTCGCGGAGTCGGAGGCTCAGTTGTTGGATTAGGGGGTTGGGCTGCCTCGCTGTTCGGAAAGCCGCCGTCGTTGAGTTTGTCCCCAGTGGTCCCGCGTCGCTTCCCCGCAGCAGCAGCAGCGACACCGCCGCACCTCGCCGCCTCCAGCCGCACCTGCTGCCTCTCACACCGCAGCACAGCAGGCGGGACAAGGACGAGCTGTAAGTAGCAGACGAGCACTTTCTGCTGCTTTCAGGGTTGAATGTATTTTCTGTTCGGCTTCCAGTCATTTTAATACCGACAAAAATGCCCACGTGGAAAATAAAATGTTTTCACAGCTGTACTCACATTATTTATCTGCTATGTCCAGACAAGTACAAATAAACCCTTTGAAAGTTAAAGCCAAGCTAATTTTCTTGATTATCTGTCTGGTTTCATTGATGTGAATGAACCTGTTTTTAATGTCTTCTCATGACAGGAGCAGTCCTGAGGGAAATAAAGGAGAATAATCAGGTTGAAAATGGTCAAACTGGGGAGTAATCTTCAGGACAAAGGGGCCAAAGCTGTGAGCGTGGAGGACGGCTTCCAAAATGTGCCCCTCATCACTCCTCTGGATGTTGGCAGCCTCCAAAGCCAAGCACCTGACAAGGTGAGACTGTCCAACAACTCTGTGTGTGTTTATCAGAGAAAGCCTCCCTGCATGTTTGTGCATCTGACAGATTTTCCCCCCCTAAATCTCCTTCTGTTGTCATTAACTCAGTGTTGTTGATACCATCCTTATTAAACCTTCTTAAGCAGAATAAAACCCTCTTATGGGCACATGCACACAAATACACACATCCATGATGATGTTTCATTCATTCACACTTTCATTCATCTCAGCTGTCTCCCTGCCGCGTCCTTTGTTTTCCAGCTGAGATTAGGAGACAGATTTGAGGCCAGACAGGCTGTCATTTATCATCCTGCCATCCCATAGTAATTTCGCCGCTGCTCGTTAATCCAGTTACCATGACGGCAGAGCAGAGTTGAGCTGATTGGTGTATTTGTGGGGTTGGGACAGAGAGCTGCACTGATTGCACATTATGAAAGTGAATGAAATGAGGCAATGTGCGAGCTCATTATTGCTTCCAGCACATTCTGATGCATTTTATGCACAAAATGTGCCGCAGCGTTTGGCACTTTTCTGAGCACCGGTTAGTTTCATCATTTCACTTTTCGGAGATCTATTCCATTTTGAAGAACTGCAAAGTAAAACTAGGCCGTATCCTGCATTTGTAGTCTTTTTAAATGGTTTTTATAGACTGAAGATGTGCTGGAGTGAAGAGGGAGCTTCATCACCCAAATCTGAAGTTTGCTCTTTCCTGCTTTAAACTTGCTGTTTGCCTCCGTTTCCCCTCAAACAACCTGCTCTGCACCAAATATACACTCAACAAGACAAACATTGAACTGGGAAAACGGGTAAACTCTATATAGGCCTGTCGCGATAAACAATAAATCAATTAATCGCATGATAAATGAAAATTATCATCCTCATTTTCGTTTATCGGCTTTATCGTTTCTTCGTGTCTCTTTCTACTGGACAATGGATGACAAAAGTCTCAACTCCGGTGCTCTTCTCCGACCCCTCCCTTTCTCTTTAAAATCTGTTTTAACTGTCCAAAAATCACGTTTTTGGATCGTTAAAAGCAGCTGAGAAGCTAAGCTACGAGCTAAGCTAACAGGCCAACCTCGACCTTCCCATTTTTCTTAAAGAGACACGCTGTTTGCTCCCTCACTATCCATCCTTCGGCTCAAACAGTCTTCTACTGCCAACCAGTGGTCAAAAAAGGTAGTACACACAAAAATTAACCAACATTTCTTCTTAAATTTGACAGTAATTACTAATTATTGTCAAATTTCATACAATATTATCGTTTATCGCAATAATGTCTGAGACAATTAGTCGCCCAGCAAAATTTGTTATAGTGACAGACCTAATTCTATATTTATGTGAAGAGATAAGCGCTTTAGTGGTTTATTCAAATGTGTAACATTCTTTTAAGCCAGAAGCACAAGTTGTTTTTAGACTCTTAAAGAGAAAACGAGCACTTGTTGTCAAGTACTGAGATCTAAAACGAGCTGGGCTCTGACCTTGGAAAGGTCAGGTTATTGAAATTACAGATCTTTCTAAATAAAACATCTTATTGCGGCCTCACACTGAATTTTAAAACAGTTGAAGTCCACAAAGCAGAAGGAGGCTACAAGGTTGTTGATTTTCAGGACGTTTCAATTTATCAGCTATAAAATAATGACCACCTGCATAATGAATAAAAAGTGCCCGTTTTGTGGCCAGAGCCACTGAGGCTTGGGTTTCACTATGTTCTTAAAGATAAACTAATTAAAAAATAATCCTGTAACAGAATGTGTGCAGGTGAAACGGATCTGGAAGGCACTGAGGTCAAATACTCTGTTCTGTTTCAAACAGCAAATGTAAATTCATTAAAAGATGATGATCAGAGACAAACCTTCCCCGTCTTCTCATCAAAGTCAGAACTTTTAAAAATGAACATTGAAACAAAATGGATGCATTTTAGAAGCAAAAACTTAAAGACATTATAAAAACATTTATTATGTTGTAATAAGCAAAGGTACATCGTGTTTGGTGAAAGAAACAAATAAATTAAAAAAAGGTTACTTTTCTCATTGATTAGCACGAGGGTGGACCAATCATGGTTTGGGCCTGTGTTGCAACGTATCACATGAAAGCAGTCTTTACTTAAAGTCAGCCAATAATGGAAGCCATCACACCTTATTATCTGAACTCGGTTCTTTCGGTTGATACCGTTAAAAATCATTTTATTTGGTCACGAGATTTTCAAAGCAGCAACGTTCCTGCAGGTGGTCCTAAACCATTGTAATCCTCAAAATGGAAATAAATAAATGCATAAAATGATGCAGTTAGGATGAAACGCTTCTTGTCTTGGTGTCCAGATTTAGGACCCCACGTAATGAATGAAATCATAGGCATTGCATCAATTATATGTGAATGGGACGTGTCCCCGTCATATTTAAAAATATATTATTTAGCCCCCCACACACATATACCACAAACCCAGTCACCCAGCAGTGTTTCTATTTATTCCTGAACAAACCCATTCCACTTAATTAATTGGAGAATACTCAAACCACTAAAAGTCCACTTTCCTGGTTACCTACAACAACTCACTACACCGCGGTCACTTGGCAGAGCTCTCATCTCTTTAATGTGTTTTGTCGCTGGGGCGGGGGGAGGAAGGGGACACACCTCTGTGTTGCGTGCTAGTTTACTGCTACATTAGTGCCGGCAGTTGCTGACCCAGGTGGGGATTAGGATGTGTGAGAGAAACGGAGCGTGCTCTATTCACACAAGGGGAACTGTTGGTCAGGCTCCTTCTTGTTGTGCCACACTTCCAGACTTCACTTATGTTTTAGCTCAAAACACTCTCTTCCAAACAGGAAGCAAACAGTCCTTTTAACTCGTCATATCTCCTACATGAAAGCTTGTAGAACCAAACAAAATCATGTGCGACCATCAACGTCTTTGGGTCCACGACTTTTTATCATCAACCATAAAGTTTTTGCTCAGTGACTGTTTGTTTGTGGCTTAACGTTCATGCTGTTTCTTTCTGCTTTGTGGAAGAGTGCTCCCAGGGAGTGAGAAACACTGGTGTGTTGTTACCATGGTGACCCTAATGAGCCACTGATGGCAGCTTCAACACTTCAGTATATATACATCAAATTTAGGCTTTTTTTTTTTTTTTTTTTTTTTTAGCAGGTGATTTCAAACTAGACCCTTTTGGGTGGTTGGCACTTTTCATAGTTTCTCTAGAAATGTTTATATTCAAACTATTATTTGACTCGGTTTTTATTTAAAATAATCCTAAAACGAGTGTGTGTGCAGTTCCTGCAGAAAGTCACGGCGCGGTTTGAACCTGCATGTTTATTCTGCTGAGGGAGGCAAAGTCTCTTTCCATTCCTTAGACCTGCTAAATGACTTGCCCTTCACTGCACTTACTCACACATTTCCACACACACACACACACACACACTTTCATTCAGAAGGCACTTGCATTTATTCCCCCGCTGTGTGTGTGTGTGTGTGTGTGTACAGTTCAGACATGCTTATGCACGCACGTGTGCGTGTGTGAGCAGTATATCGATTATGTCAGCAGCCAACAGTTTGTGACGGGACATACGTCGAGCTGTCAGTCATTTCTCGCTGATTAAATCAGTCCCGGCAGAATAAAGAACACGGCCACATTCTGCATTTAAAGCAGCCGTCAGGTAGAGACACACACACTTGTTTTGTTTCACTGTGTGACTAAAAGTCTTCATGTTTTTTCCAACAAATTTAGCTTTTGCTCTCTCCTTTTTGGATATATTCTAGCTGATGCTTTCCAGGAGGTTTCTCTGCTCACAGACATGACAAATTTCAAGTCCAGCCGCTGCATGCAGATGCAAATGGGCCTATTTGTTCTCAAATGGGACACTATGAGACTTGGAAAGGTCACTTTGCTACTAAATCAGTGACTGTGTGTAACTGGAAGTTCAAGAATTTGTTCACCTAGTAGGCAAGGCATAAAATGTCACGCAGGCCAGGAAAGACATTAACTGTAATTAGTCAAAATAGATAATGATGAGGTTCGGCTAAGCAGAAATCAAAAAATAAAAGCCCATATTACTTTATTTTGCTGCTGATCATATAAAAATATTGCTGATCTTTATCCAACTTCAACTTATCCTACAAACCAAACTGCAGTATTTTATTATATTTACCAACTGAAAAGTGAACCAGTATGTTTCTCCATCCATCCATCCATCCATCCATCCATCCATCCATCCATCCATCCATCCATCCATCCATCCATCCATCCATCCATCCATCCATCCATCCATCCATCCAT